TGAAACTTCCCCCCTCCCTGGCCCCTCCCCCTTGCCCCACACGGAGGAGGAAGACAGGCTGGGTCGCTTTTGGCCAACCCTGGCCACCAGGCTGTCCCTCCCCCGGGGGCCAAAGTTCTGCAAGAGCCCGCTGTGTTGCGTGTAGAAAAGAACCCGGTTTGGCTCTGCAGGCGGCAAGGCCGGGGGGGAAGCTGTTCCTTGCCCGGGCGTGGAGGCGGGCGGGGCAAGCCTGCCGAGGGAGGGCTAGGTAAATTCCCCCATGGTTACCGCTGTTTGTAATTCCCACAGGACATCCCTTTCCCCCGCTAATGGCCACTCGGACGCCATTACAGGTCCTGCATGCTTCCCGGCTCCCTGAGCGGGAGGCCGGGGAATCCCCCGCCGCCGGTCCACCCCGATCAGAAGACGCCCTTTCTGCGCCGGGCCCTGGCCCCACATGGTCCCCGGCTGCCGGGGGACAGTGTCTCCGAGAATTGCAGTCCATGAGTGGGGCCACCCCTCCCTTCTTTGGGTGCAAGTCATCTGGGCGTAGACTCGGACTCTCAAGAGTCCTGCCCCCTCTTTGGGGAGCGGGTGACGGGCTCAGAGGGTGAGGGCTTGTCTGAGGACACACAGGCCGTGGTTTACTCCGGATTCCTGACTTTGTGTCCCGGGCACCCAGGGATGGGCTCAGATCCAAACCCCGCCCCGTCTCCCTCCCCACGTGGTCCGCACAGGTTTGGGCCCATGGGATGTTGCAGCCCGGGGGGGGGTGGGGTGTGGGGAGGACCAGCTCGGTTGCAGGGGCCGTTGTGGCCGTGGTGTGGCTCTCGGTGACCGGCCCCTGGGGAACAGGGAGACTGGCGAGGGTTAGGCTGAGCGGAGCAGCCCCTGTCATCGTGGGTACCACAGCCGACTGCTGGGATGGGAAGGAGGTCACGGACCACAGGAGTGTGTCTGCTGCTGCGGTGGGTGCGAAGCCCAGTGGCCTGCTAGTTACATTTTACGATCAGTCGTCGAGGCCAGGGGTCGGCCAAGGCCAAGCCAGAGGACAGGAGCCGGGTTCTCTGTCCTGCGGAGATGATAGGCCACTGTTGATGGCATGGGTCCCGGGCAGGGGGGCTGTGGCAGGCCCCGAATCCTCGCCTCGGGGACGGCTGGTCACGGCTACGGGATTCCTGATTGCTCTCTCCTCCCCCCAGCTGGGAGCGTCCACCCGCCTTCCACCAGCATGGCGACGTCCTCCCAGTACCGCCAGCTGCTGAGCGACTACGGACCACCTTCTCTAGGCTACACGCAGGTATGGCGGCAGGGGTGATGCGCAGCGGGAGGGGCCGGGGACTCGGTGGGAGAGACACGAAGGAGTAGAAATGATGGATGGAAGTGATCCGAGCTTCCTCAGGTCCAAGACCCGGCTGGACTCACGTTCAGGACCTGCAGCATCTCAGAGGGTGGCAGGGTGTTTCATGGGGACACTGAGCTGGGATGGGCGATGGGGAGCTCAGGGAAAGATGGAAGTCCTGGGGGCTGCGGTTCTGTTGAGGGGGGGCCACCACCCCTTGTATGTCCCTGGTGGGTCTTGTGCCTGATGCCTGGGGAAGAAGAACTGACCTGACTCTGGGTCTGACCCGGAACAGAGGGGCGGGGTCCGGTTCCCACTCCCCCCCGCACAAGGTCGCAGCCCCAGCAAAGAGGATGCATGTAGTGAGGAGCTGGTGGCCCCTGAGTGAGGCTACTTGGGTTTACACCTGGTTCTGCCACTTCTTTTTAAAAACACATATAATTTTATTGATTTCAGAGAGGAAGGGAGAAGGAAAGAAACATCAATGATGAGAGAGAATCATTGATTGGCTGCCTCCTGCACGCCCCATAACTGGGGATCAAGCCCGCAACCCGGGCATGTGCCCTGACCTGGAATTGAACCCGGACCTGGTTCATGGGTCGATGCTCAACCACTGAGCCATGCCGGCCGGGCTCTGGTTCTGCCACTTCTGAAAACAGGACCCCACCTGGCAATCTCGCCGAGACCTAGTTTTCTCACTGTCAAGTGGGGATTCCTGGGGTGGTCGGAGCATAGTGGAGGCAGCCACTTCAGCCTCCGTGGCACCTGCCAGGGAGACGCGGCCTGTGGAGGGACCCACGGTTGCCAGCTGCAAGGTTCTCTCTCGTGGCCGGAACTCCACATTCTGAGGTCGCCACGGACACTGTCCTTGGGGGTGAGTGGTGGCTCCCCGGCCATGCCCCGCCAGGCCATCCTGTCCCAGGAGGAGAAGCGGGCCCGGGCCCGGGAAAGGGACCGCCTGAAGAAGCGGCGGCGGCGGGAGGATGGGCTGAAGCGCAGCCTGGAGAGGCAGCGCAACGCCCTGGCCATGAGGCGGTGGCGGGAGCAGCGGAAGGAGGAGTGCGGGGCCACAAGGAGGCGCCGGCAGGAGGCTGAGGACCTGGACCAGGAGAAGAGGAAGGACCTCGAGACTAAGCAGCAGAGGCAGCAGAGAAGGAGGGAGGAGCAGGCGAGGGCCTCCAGGAGGGAAGGCCGGTCCTGGTGCCACTGGGGAGGAGGAGGTGGAAGTGGAGGAGGATAGGAGATGGAGCAGGAGGAGGAGGAGGAGCAAGAGGAGATGGAGGAGGGTGAGATGGAGATGGAAGAGGAGGAGGAGATGGAGCAGGAGGAGGAGATGGAAGATGGAGGAGGATGAGATGGAGATGAAAGAGGAGATGG